CTCTGGGAGGCTGCGCTGTAGGCCTGAACAGCTGGCTGAGAGAGGCAGGGGTGAAATACACCAAGGTCTGCACTGCAAATCTGTCCCCACTTTCCTTTATACCAGAAATTTCTTCAAGGACCTGGCTGTTCTTTTTTTTTTTTTCTTAGAGAGGTTTTTGCTATAAGGCACGTGCACTTGTCAGATACACAGAGAGAGACAGAGAGAAAGTGAGAACTGCCCCCTACCCCCCACAAGGGGGAATGGTCATGCCAAAATCCTTTCTCCGTTCTCCTCGCTGGATTTTGGGCACACACTTGTGCCCAGCGTGTTTGAAGCCGCCAGGTCCAGGACTCAAACCATGGTTGACCATTTGGAAGTCCAGCACTTTAACCACTATGCCATATGCTGACCCCAAGGACCTGGCCTTTGAACAGGAGCAATAAAAAGCATTTTAGGAAAAAAAAATCCTTACAAAGGAGGTGGGTAATTCTGATTACTCTAACCAGTCGTCTTCTCAGAGCAGACAGTTCACAGAGTCACAACGTCTATCAGAGGTGAGGAGGTACTGGGAGGAGAGGCCTGGGAGAGCCAGGTGTCCTGGCGGCTGGAGGAGCTGGTGGAGTAGGCAGGATACCATATGCTCTGTCTGTCCTTCAGAAAAAACTGCTAAGTTGGGAATGCTTTGGTTTAAAAATTCTTGGTGGGGACAGGGAATCCCTGAAGGGAACACTTAAAAAAAAAAATGGGGGAACCAGCAGTTAGCGTAATGGCTATGTCGCTGGATTCCCACGTAGTCGACCTGTGGCTTAGAACTCATGCCGGGCGCGTGTGCGTGCGCGTGTGCCCAGGATCCCGAGAGGAGAAAGGAGGAGAAGGGATTGTGGCGTGACCATCCCCCCTGGGGGGTGATTTCTCACTTTCTGTCTTTCTTTCTGGCGAGCGCATGTGCTCTGTAGCAAAAATTTCTCTTAAAAAATAAAATAAATAAATAAATAGTAGAAACAGAGAAGGAGAATAAGAGCTGTTGTCCAAGAGTTTCTATTCTACTTTTTTTTTATATATAGAAAGAAAAAGTCTCTTAAGTGGTTCAAAGGCTTCTGAGAATGAACTGAAAGAATGAGAGGATGGAGGAGACAGTTTTTACGCTGGCCTGCCCTGTGGAGCTTGGCTGGCCTCTATCTGGAGCTTCTTCCTGCTCTGGGCTCTTTGGACTCTGACTCCAAGGTGGAGACTGAACCTTCATCGAAGGCAGGGACCGTGATCTGAGAAGGGCTAGTTGGTCCGCAGTTGGGCACTCGACCTCCCCTTCTCCAGTGCCTGGACTTGCTGCTCCCGAAGAGAGTCCTGCCACTTGAGGTCATCAATACCTTGCTGGAGTGTGTGGTCTTCCCTTCACATAAACTGGATGTACTCCACTTTTGTCTTGGATTTGGGCCCAGGATGCCTTCTCTCCTTGGAGCGATGCAGCCGAGTCCCGCAAACTGTGAAAGCTCTTTGCTGTTGGTCCCTGTGGTTTTGTTCTAGTGCGTTATCCTGAGCCCGGATTGAAACCTCGGTTCTCTTCCTCGCACTCCACCTTGATGGCATTATTATTACTCATTTCCTACGGCCCAGGGAGTGGCCACTGCAGCATGGCAGGGAAAGGAGGAGTGGTGGGGACAGGAAAGTGACTGACAACAAGCCAGGTGCCCTCACTCATACTCACTCATTCGCGTTCTCTCTCACACATGCGACATTGACCCTTTTTCTAAATACAGTCCTGTCCACAGGTCCCACAAGAGCATATCCTTGTGGGATATACCATTCAGTCCATTGCATTAGAAGGAACCTTTGGAGACATTTGAAAGTGGATAAATTTAGGGCTTAGTTAAAGGCCTAAAAGTCAACATCAAGCCCTTCTTTGGGAAGTGAGGAGCAAGGCAGATAGGAGTCTCCCACACAACCGAGACTGTGCCACCCTCCAAGCTAGCCATGGGAGCTTCTGAGTGGCAGCAACTGCTTCCGAGGCCAGCGGCTACCCTGTGGAGACAGGCGGACCGGTCCTGACAAGAGCGCGTGCAGTCAGAAGCAGGCTTCTTGCTGCCCACATTGATGCTCCCATCCTTCACTTGTCAACGTTAGGAGCAACCAATGCCAGACGTCACCACCTTAGATGTGCGGGGATCATGGTGCTGGTGTAGCTTCGGTGGGTAGGCATAGGGGAGTAGTGGCATCAGATATTAAATTATTGCGTTCTCATGATTTTGAGACTCTGTCTTGGGCCCTTAGCTCACTCTCCCCCACTTTTTTAAAGGCTTTTTGTCATACAGGGTGTGCACTTAATATAGAGAAACAGAAAGAAGGAAAATGAGTAATCACCTCCTAGGGGGCATGGCCACAGCTCAATCCCTTCTCTTCTATTCTCTTTGGGTTTTGGGGCATGCATGCACATGCACCTGGCATGATCTTTCTTTCTTTCTTTCTTTTTCTTTTTCTTTTTCTTTTTCTTTTTCTTTTTTT